CCTTCCAATCAAATAAAACCGTTTTTCTTTGAGTTTGTCCGTCAAAAAGTATATAAAATTCGGTCACAGCGTTAAAGGCACGCGCGAAAATATGTTTTCTTATATTCCTGTCCGAATGTCGGAATTTTCAATTAACTACCATGCTACCAATCCGAAGAACGCAGAATCACTATTTTATTTATATTCTGATTATTTTTACCCGTTTGTATCCATGCCATATTTTTCTACATTTTATTAAATTTATCAGAGACTAGAAAGTCGTAAATATAGGGTGTTTTCAAAGTTGAGTAATTTATTTTAACCTGCTTGTAGGACTCGTCAAAAGGAGTTGATATACCAAAAATCACCTATATAAAAGTTGTTTAATAAAAGAAATAGTAAAAGATTAAACACAATATTAAAAATAAGTACGTTATTACACAGATTTTTTGATATTCTCGACCATTGCCGTGTAAAATCGTAACGTAAAAACTTAGTGCCTCTGGGAATAGTCGCTCCTGACGGTCAGTGATTACAATGTCTAGAACGCGGATGGATGTACACAGTCCTTATTCCGACGACTGAGCAGGTACCATCTCCTTCCAATCAAATAAAACCGTTTTTCTTTGAGTTTGTCCGTCAAAAAGTATATAAAATTCGCTCACAGCGTTAAAGGCACGCGCGAAAATATGTTTTCTTATATTCCTGTCCGAATGTCGGAATTTTCAATTAACTACCATAATGACTGAACACACGAGGCTAAATTTCCAATAATGCACTAACAGACATGAAATGCTACCAATCCGAAGAACGCAGAATCATTTTTACCTGTTTGTATCCATGCCATATTTTTCTACATTTTATTAAATTTATCAGAGACTAGAAAGTCTTAAATATAGGGTGTTTTCAAAGTTGAGTAATTTATTTTAACCTACTTGTAGGACTCGTCAAAAGGAGTTGATATACCAAAAATCACCTATATAAAAGTTGTTTAATAAAAGAAATAGTACAAGATTAAACACAATATTAAAAATAAGTACGTTATTACACAGATTTTTTGATATTCTCGACCATTGCCGTGTAAAATCCTAACGTTTTTTTGTTTTGTCGTATGGTTTTCTACTTGTACACGTATGTACTGCGTATATTTTCATTTGTCTGATTATTTTGTGCGATAAAATGGCGCATATTTACAAAAACAATGAACTAGTGGATATAACATACGGGGAGTGCCAACAAAATGCAGCCGCAACATGCAAGTTGCATGCCGAAGGGTTTCCTTTAAGAAATCATCCGGCCCCACGGATGTTTGTAAAGTTAGTTATTCGACTTCGTAACAGAGGAACAACGAGGAGATCGCGCTGGAAGAGTATTAGAGCCATGGCAGCTCAAGTTGAAGTTTCTCACAGTAAAGTGTGGACGCCAATACGACAAGAACAGTATTATCATTATCAACGGGTACAAGCGTTGCAACCTGAATATGATCCTAGAACAGTTGCATTTTTCCAGTGGCCTTTAGAACAGTTCTGCAGAAATGAAGATTTTACGAAATTGATTTTGTCTATAGACGAGGTCACATTTACACGAAATGTAGTGCTCAATTTCCACAACAATCATGTTTGGGCAATAGAAAATCCGTATTGTGTAAAAAGAACTCATTTTCAGCATAGATTTTCATTAAATGTTTGGACTGGAGTGGTAAATGGCATGCTTATTGGACCCTACTGTTTTCCACCTCGACTGACCAATGAAATTTATTTAGATTTTCTTCGACACAATCTTTTGTTTGTTTGTTTAAGATTTATTTAGCATGACTGCTACAATTACGTTCTTCTAAAAAACTAAACAATTATATAACATAGATATTTAGAAAAAACCAAACATTTGCATCTCTAAGAATTTTCACTGTCCATAAAATATTCCTTTAATTTTCTTTTAAACATCTTCAAATTACAAGTAGACTTTATATCTTTATTTAGTTTATAAATTCAAGTAATCCAATTATTAAAAGATGTTCCACTGTGAGACAGAATATGTGGATCCTACATGTTGGTGCTCCACCACATTTTAGACGAGAAGTTCATAAACATCTAAATAATGAGTTTCCGAATAGATGGACAGGACGCAAGGGACCCATTTCTTGGCCTGCTCGCTCCCCGGATTTAACGCCTTGCCATTTTCTTCCGTGAGGCTATTTGAAAGAGTTGGTCTCTATTCGTCATTGTCTGTCAGAGCGGTCCGTAGGACCTTTGCTCTTGGTTAAAGTCTTGTAAGTCAGTAGGTCTGTCAGGTCTGGATGCCCAGATACCAGACAAAATCGGGGAGAAAGAAGGGAGGGAAGAAGAAAGGAAGGAAGGAGGGAGAGCAAAGAAAAAAGAAGCGCGTCAATTTGAGGGGTGCCTTGGCATTGCTAATTAGTATTCGGCAATTTTAAATTGATCCTAAAATTAATTTAGAGATTGGTTGTTGAAGAAAAAATTATAATTTTCGTTGGGCGTAAAGAAGCACGATTTAATTTTGTTCACATTGCGAGTCGCGGCCTTGTGTGCTTGCGAACTTGTTCGACTGTGTAGTCTACTGACTCGTACAACAGAGGGTTGCTATGCGATTCCGCTTGACTATAAAGTAGCTGCGCTTGTTTGATGTAGTCCCTTAGGTAAGGGATGTCAAGGTCTCTGTGAAGGGTGTCATTGGAGACATACCATGAGGCGTTAGTGATTGTTCGCAAGATTCTGTTCTGCAAAACCTGCAGACTACACAACATGCGTTTTGGCGAGAAACACCAAGCCGCACTTGCGTAAGTGATCGCTGGTCTAATAACAATCTTGTATAGCCGAACTTTATTGGTCAAACTTAATTTTGGTGTTCTACATAGCATATGGTAGAGTTGCCGAAACGAGATTTGGAATTTAGTTTTTAACGCTTCAGTGTGCTTCTGCCAGGTCATCCCCTTGTCAAGAGTGACACCGAGATACTTAGCAGAGCTTTCCCATGGTACCCGAGCTCCATTCACTGAAACCTCAGACGGGGCGCCGCTACGTTTTTTAGTACAATAGATTGCCTGCGTTTTCGAATGATTAATTTTGATCAGCCACCGATTCACCCATTCCAGTACCTCGTCCACTGCACTTTGCAGCCTGTCGTGAACTAGATTCCCAGAACGACTGGGCCATATATTTCACAGTTGCTGGGGCAAGGGACGTCATGAATAAAAAGTGAGTAAAGGACTGGTCCAAGAACCGAACCCTGAGGGCCAACGGCTTTGATGGGCCGTGTTGTCGACAGAACGTTATTAATTTTGATCCGAAATTTCCTACCCTCGAGAAAGGATTTCAAAAGTTTTAGGAGCCAGAAGGGGAAACCCTTATGGATCTATTTGTAGAGAAGGCCCTTGTGCCACACCTTATCAAATGCCTTTGAGACATCCAGAAGCAAGATTCCAGTACTTTCATTACGGGTGAACCGGTGAACCCCCTGGTTACTCATTCAACACGCCTAACCGCCTGTAACTCCGTACTATGCTCGGACCGAAAGCCAAATTGCTCGTCAGGAATCACATTGTGGTCTGACGAGAAATTTTCAAGGTGAAGTAGAATCACCTTTTCTGTAGACATTAGACTCGTGGAGGCAGTACTCCTGTGGGAATATCGTACCCACCTTCTTTGGAATCATTATAACATCATCGGTCTTCCAGGCCGCTGGGAAGTGCTGGGTCCTTAGCATGGCAGCCATTATTGCCACGAAATAAGTTAAGGACTTCCGCGAAAGCAGCTTCAACGCCTTATTAGTGATTCGATCCTCTCCAGATGCTTTACGCACCTTGAGGTCTTTAATATGTCCTTGAAGTTCTGCTGGTGTGCAGTGCGGAATCGCAGAAGATTCCGCTGATGTGCCGTGCAGCTCTTCTGTTCTTCTGAACATTCCTCTGAGGAAAAATTACTAAGGGAGGAGCTACCGCCACTGACGCCGTTGGCCCTAAAATATCTCCTAACGGATCTTACAATGTGTTGATCCTCGTCGAGGTCATTATCAAGGTCTTAGCTGGGAGAGAACTGATTTTCCATTGCTTCAGCGAAAACCTCGAACTTCTCCTCTGTCCTACAGACCCCCCAGGACCGTGGATGTGCGGGAGTTGTTCTCGCTTTCCGTTTCTGAGCGACTTTGCAACTTTCCAGATAGAAATACTTGACAGAAAGTCGCTCCATTGCTGATTACGGAATTCATGAAGAGCATTTCTCACTTCATAAACAAGATTCGTCGCTCTGCGAATGTCATCTGGATGATAAGACCTCTTCGCTTGCTTAATTGCAGCTCTTTTGTCAGAATTTTTTTGACGAACGTCTGCAGGGAGATTGAAAGAGATGGTGTATCATGATGGAGCAATACTCTGGAAGAACTTCAACAGCGCACTGAAAATGCTTGTGATTTAATTCGTGGACACCAGGATTTTATTTTCGAGCTTGTAAAGAGTCGTGGATTCGCCGAGCAAGATTTTGCGTTAATCGAACAAATGGGGACAACTTTGAACAGTTTTTGTACAAACGGTATCCATTTAACTTGATAATGATTTTTTTTTTTAAATAATTGTTAATACTGTAAACTAACTCTCTTATTGTGCAACTTTTATCTAGGTGATTTCTGGTATATCAACTCCTTTTGACGAGTTCTACAAGCTGTTAAAATAGATAACTCAACTTTGAAAACGTATTAGTGGTCAAACTAGATTCGACTCCTGGATCCGCGCTTGTAACCAGTACACCGACGCGACTGCGACAGATGAATGGTATTTTCGCCTGTAGACACAAGAGAAGTACTAGGTACATGTAGTGAAAGTAACTGGTATTACTCTTATTGAAAAGTACCGGTCCTTGATACGACGATTGGAAAACTGAACAATTTTGCAACATGCACGGTTCGGGTTACCTGTTCAAATCCACTGGTAAAGGCAAACCATAGCGTGTATAGATAACTTTAGAGGATCGGGCTTGAATGGGGGGAGGGGTATAAGAACAACATCTACAAATGCTTAAGTATAACATTTTTATTGTATTTTTTGGCATTTTCAAAGAAAACAGCAGCTAAATTAAATAGATTTCTAAATATCTTCGTACTCTGTTAATCATCTATTTTGCTCCTACTCGCGAACTTCAATTTGAGTAATTCTATTTGTGCTTCATTTCCATTTAAAGCAGCAGCTTCTTTTACTTTTTTAAGAGTCTCGTTTGCTTCAATGGATCGTCTTATTAATTCTTCTCGTTGAAAGGTAAATGAATTTCTGGAAATAGACATAGGCACACTAAATTCATTCTAATTAATACTTTGATCATATACACAGTGCTTTCGAAAAGGTACACTTATTTATTTTTTAAACAGATCAAGTTAGCTAGCTGACATTCGGAGTGATAAAATTGATGCATGCATATTATATTTTAACGTGAAAGTAAAGTTAAACATTTCAAGATGGCATCTAGGCGCCAAGTTGAATAAATATTTGAAATCGAATGGGGGGGTCATGTGACACACTACTTTGAAGTTGCTAATCAATATTTTCTAACCCTAGAGTATTTTATTATTATTCAATATGGAGCATACAGGTTCAGCGTTTTCATATATTAAATAGCGCGTAACTTAACAACTAACCATCAGAAATATATATCGTGATACATCAATCTTCTATTGGAAGGGAAAATTAGTGAAGCGCCATAAGACATAAAAATATCAAACCTTCGGAACCCAGTTCCACTGAATGGATTTTCATGAAATCTTTTCGAATGGATTTTCATGAAATCTTTTCGAATGGATTTTCATGAAATCTTTTCGATTGCATTTTTAGAAACTTCGAAAAAGTTTAGCCATCAAAATTATGTAACAACCAGAAATACTAAATAACATTAACATCTAAGACTAACAAATTTCACTAAATGTAGTGTTGAAAATGCCCTCCTTCGGATTCAATGGAACTGTCTAGCCGAATCATCATTGAATTACGCACTCTGCTGACAACCCCTGGCGTATTTTGTATTATGTCATATGAATTATTCTTTTCCGTAAATCCTCTTCACTTCCAATGGCATTTTTTTTATACCAGCGCTTTAAAGTGTTCCCAGAGAAAATAATCCAAAGGATTCATATCGGGCGAGCAATTATGGTAATGCTCATCCAAAAATTGCCGCGCCAGTACACTAAAGTGTGGTGAAACCCCGTCGTGCATGAACCACATAAAAGCCCAAGTAAAACAAATTCTAAAAACCGTCAGTATTCTTCTCCATTAAGTCTACGTGGAAGAAAATGATGATGGTCACCGACAATTCCAACCAAAATATTAAAACTGTTCTTGATAAGTTGATAATTGAATTGCGAGAAAAACAAGCTGCATCTGTAAACAATATCCGGCTTATAAAACCTGGATTCTTTATCATTTTACTGCATAACCAATCAGAAAAAGCTAGTCTTAAAGCCAAATCTCTGAGCAATAGAGCTTGTACAAGTGGCATTTGATATGGGTATAGCCGCTGGTCTCTTAATATCAGCCACACTGTGACATGGTTAATATTCAGTTCCTTAGCTAATTTTTCGAGTACTGATATGAGGATTTGCTTCAATTTCATTTAAAACAGCTTCTTCAATTTGAACTGTTCGTACCGTTGCAGGCCCTCCGATAATAACCGTCGATATTTTAAAGCTGCTTGTTTCAGAAAGTCGTGCATGGAGACGTACAAAAGTTCTTCTATTGGGGACCACCACTACACGCTGAGGAAATCTTTGTCTTGCAGCATATCTGCCATTTCACTATTAGAAACTGAATCATATTGGACAAAAAAATAACCAATAAAACCACGTTTTATAAAAATTATAACTTAATAGCTTATAAATACTAAGTTGTCGACTGTCAAGTTGTTTACTAAATGCAATCGTTTTGCAAGGCAACCCCTTATTATTTACTATTACTTAGTTTAGAAAAATTCATTAGTTTAGATGACAATGTAATGTAATTTAATTTCGTGTTTATTTGTTGTTACATAATTAGTAATGAAAAATTAAAAAAAATGATAATTTCCTAAAGATACGTTTCCGAAACCAAGGAACATAATAAAAATTGAACAAAAGTCAGTGGCGTATATTTGTTTGTTACAAATATTTGTTCAGATCCCGCTCGAGACGTCACTGGACTTGATAAATTTAATCAAGTTAGGGCTAAATTAGCTCCTTAATGTCATAAATACCACCGCCAAATTACAACAAAACTAGGTAAAGGATATTTAAGAAATTTACGAAAATCCATTTTTTTCAATTCTAACACCTCTTGAAGTATAACGAAGAATTTGCGGATCTATTATTTATGAACTTTTTGTCTTAAAATTACTCACGTACGACTCGTAACTTTTTGTTATGCTAAAAACCAATATTGCAATAACTTCAATCAAAACTTCATACATATGAGGATTTTTGTGCGGTTTAGGGCCGTGCCGTATCGTCAGTCGTTCCTACAATTGTAGAACGTATTTATGGCCTCCTTGATTTCCATAATATCTTGAATCTTTCAGTAAAGAACGTGTGTGACTGCTTTAGATTTGTACCCTGCCGTCCATTGTGATGTTAGGTTATGTTTTTTTGCCGTTCAAGAAATTTTAGATAGATGAATCAAATGCCGAAGCTTATTTTCTTGCAAATAATGTTAATCAGTCAATAATAATTCCTTGCATTGAACAAATTCGTGAAGCTGTGGTATCTTCAAATTCCATATAATTGTCGGGAAACTTTTGAGTTCCCTAAGCGGGCTACTTGCTAACTTGATCCGGTGAAAAAATAATATGAAGGAATGAACTGGGCATGAACCTCAAGAAAGAAAGTCTGCATCCACCTCCTGATTCAATATGCTCAATTTTCAATCAAATGTTTTTTGTGGAACATTGTGATCTTATTCCAAGTTAATTTGTAATTCACTGAGTAAGTGATACTATAAAACAATTCATAAGCATACCTTATTGCAAGGACCTGCAGTGCCAGTGCAAATCCTGCTACAGCAAGGCACACCATAACTATTGTTCTATTAGATAACTTCTTTATACCTTTGATGCCATAATATGGCTCACCTTCATTGAACTTGTCTTGTGATTTGTCTCTATTTGCATAAAATGATCGATCTTTCCATGGGCTACAAAAAAATCAAAAAAATGAGTACTTGTTAACCTTCAAGCGAGCGTGTGGTCATTTGTGATGGCGGCAGTCGTGCACATTCAAGTAGTACTATAGGAGATTCCAGTGATTCAAAACACTAATTAGTTTAAAATTATTAATCAATAATAACTTATTTATTGTATACAGACATATGGTATTATTAGCTAAAAATAGTTTGTTTTGAAGAATGAAGTTAAAATCAGAAATGCATATGACAAAAAATAACAATCTTTGCAATGACAATATACCAATTACTGTCATGGTAATGCTGTCATAATGTTAGTAACAAATTTGTTTAAAAAAGTCTAGCTGGTAAAAAAAGTGTTGTATTTGCAAAGTCGAAAATCGATGAAAAGTTCACTCAAAACAGTTGTAAATAATTAGTAGTACAATTTTGTATAACAGCACTGAATTCCCACTAAATTTGAAAGTGAGATTTATTAAAAACCTTAGTCAGGTAAAAGTGTGAAGACATATGCGTATATAATAATTACAACGTTCACCATTAATAGATAATTGAAAGAAAATATAAACAGTGTTTTTCAGCAAGGTAGCCCCTTATTTATGTTTTGAATAAGTCAAAGTAGCGAGCAGAAATTCATAACAATGGATTTGATGCATAAATACTGTATTTAAACGTAAATATAACAGTTGAACATTTGAAAATTCAGACTGGGCGCCAACTTGTAACATTCAAAATCTTGAAATGGGAGGGTATTTGATATACTTTATTTTGAAGCCATTCATGAGTACTTTATATCCCTAGGACTTGCAGGCCCTCAAAGTTGAGTGTTTCTGTACAATGAATTGCTTATACAAAATCTAATCATCCAAATATTATAGTATGTTATAGCAATCTTCTTTGGAAAAGTCTACCTGAATGTGCAATAAAAATTGTCAGATTTTGACATTTTTTTAATGAACTGTTCCAGTGTAAACAAATGCTCAACTTTGAGACATTGCCAGATCTTCATTTTGAAAGATAGGGATCTAAAGTTAGGGAGCTTCAAAATAAGATATCATACAACCTAATCCACTTGAAAAAATGTTCTTAAATGGCGCCCAGTCGCCATCTTGAAACTTTCAACTGCCGATTTTCCACTAAAACATGGTATTCACGAATCAATTCATTCATTGTCCCAAATTTCGGCTTTTAAACTTGATGCCTTCAAAAAATAAGTAGGAGGGGACACTATTGTTGCGCTTTCTAGAACTTCAGATTGTATAGCTTTTTTAAACTTTAAATGTATAGAGGGTAGTTTATAATAATAATAATAAATAATCTTTATTTCAAAATAACAGTGCACAATTACAACGTAATGTCCGCTGTCAGGTGAAATATAAGTCACATAATGCCATAATAGCAAACAAATGCAAGAAACAAAAATAGTGTCTAAATATTACAATATTACACAATGTTTGTTTCATATTTCATGATATTCATCGAGCCCATTTGGCTCTAGATTCATTAGTAACTTGTGAATACATTTCTTGAACTCTTTTATATTCGACAACTTTTTAACTTCCTGGGGTAACTTATTATGAAGCTTTGCACAACTGTAATGAAGGTTTTTTTTCGGTAAGTTAGATGGTGAATTAGGTACACAAGAGTTATATCTCTGTTCCTTGTATTGTAATTGCCTGGGATTCTTATAAAGTACCCAATATTTTTAAATGTAAAAATCAATATTTCTTGAATATATATTGCCACTATGGTGAGTATTTTATTCCCTTTAAATTTCCCTCTGCATGTTTCTCTACGCGGAATTTTTAACATGCATCTCAATGCTCGTTTCTGTACCCAAAAGAGCCTGTTTATGAGTCCCTAAAAAATTATACCAAAACGTACAATGAACTCAAAGTTGGCATGGTAAACAATTTTTAGGGTCTTAAGGTCTAGGTACTTACTTATATAATATCCTAATTCTATAACCAGTGCTGTTTAACCGTTTTTCTAGATGTTCTACATGTAGAGCCCAGGAAAGTCCTTGGTCAATATACACTCTTAAGAATCTACCAGAGTCTGTCAGCCAGACTTCTACCCTATCAGCTAAGTGGATCTTCGTAGCTTTGTTTTTTTTTTTAATTTGAATACTATCGCATTTGTTTTTGATGTGTTCAAGGATAGACTGTTGCGAGCAAAGCACCAAAATGCTTTCTCGCATATGCTCAATGTATTTTCAGCTACTTGGTTGAAATCTTAGCCAGCTATAATCACACTAGTATCATCTGTATATTGAATAGTACATACATTATTGGGGTTTGCTATACTAACACTCAGATCATTTACAAACATCACAAAGAGGAGAGGACCCAAGACGTTTCCTTGTGGGATGCCTCTATCAACTGTTAACTGCAATGAGACAGCTGTCATGCCATTCTTTATGATGGAAACACTTTGTTGATGGTCTGTTAAATAAGACTTGACCGAGTTCCAGGCACTTCGCCTTATCCCAAATGCCTCAAATTTACTCAGTAAGAGAGAATGTTCTACACAATCATATGCTTTGGAGAGATTAAAAAACAAACCCAGTAATATCATGTTATTTTCCAGACATTCTACAATACTGTAGCTAAAGGAGTATATAGTCGTATTTATCAATTTCCCTTTTATAAAGCCATGCTGTGATTCAGCAATTAAGTTATTATAGAGCATGTGATACATAATTTGTGAATACATCACCAGTTCAAAAAGCTTTGCAAAGCAAGAAAGTAGGCTTATTGGTCTATAGTTTACCAAGTCATTAGTTCTTATATACTGGGACGATTATGGCTAATTTCTAATTTTCAGGAAAAATACCATACTTAAGTGAATTATTTATTATGTAAACTAGGGGTTCAAGAATCACTTTCAAAGAATATTTCAGAATATTAGCTGGAATACCATCTTTGCCACTACTCATTTTGTTTTTAATTTTATCCCCCAGCTCCAGTATTTCTTGGGCACTGATATATTCTAGCAGCATACACTGTTCTGCATGGCCTGTTTAATAAACCATTTTAAATAATAAAATGTGTAAAAAATTGTCCAAAATACTGCATTTTCATTGCCATCACTATCATATGATGGTTACAATCTCTGCATATACAAAGAACAAGTTGAAGAAAAGATGGCGCCAACAGCACAGAGTACTACTAAACTAATAAAGTGTATCCAAACCTGGGAAAAATGTTTTCGGACACCTTTCCACTCAGGTTAGGCATGTACCATACCATTGGGGGAAAGATCAATTTAAACAGTAAAATCCAAAGTTCTAGAAGGAGCAACAGTACTTGATAAAAAAAATACTAATAGTGATATCTCGTACACATATAGATATTAAAAAAGAACATACTTATGAACAAATTGCTCAGCATCATATGTGTATGTTCTATATGGACCCCTGGTGCTATCTTCATGCATAGGTCTCAGACCTAAGTCATAGTTTCTTCTTGAATTAATGTTACTTAAGACTTTGTATGCTTCGTTGATCTGTAGGAATTTCTTATGAGCATCATTACTTTTATTAATGTCTGGATGGAACTGCAAATATGGTATAATTTTTAAAACTTTTACCATAGTAGTAGTATTATAGTATTTTTTACAGTACTATTTGTTTAGTAGGAACGCACCTCTTTAGATAATTTAATGAAGGAATCTTTGATTTCCTTAGCAGTGCACCCCTTTTTTAGGTTTAAAACATCATAATAGTTCCTCAGATATTTACTGCAAAAGCGAATAACTGTAATGTCATGATTCCAATATTTACTGGTTATGAGGATTACCTAGTACTGAACGATCTAAGTACTTTTGATGTAGGCAAATGCAAAAAAGTTACATGAGAGAAATGATACATTACTGAAAATTTTGAACTGAATTGTTTGCTTTGACTTTGACGTCACAATTGTCGCCTCGTCGCCTGACGTTGTCCTGCTTGGAACACACAGGACAGAATTATTCACAGAAGAAAGTCGGTCACTTGTCAGTTCTATGGTTCTGTGGTAGTACAACTCTGGAACCAAATCCAAGGGAATAACAAAAATTGCTGTATTAAGCCAGTCCCACACGATGTGGCGAATGCCTTACAGCTTTGGACACATGGCCATTCGCCACATCGTGTGGGAAAGCGCCGACGGATTACATGTGTCCAACGTTCGCCACATGGCACGTTCGGGTTCTTGTCGGTAGATTTGATCCGCGTCAAAGGACGTTACAACGTTGGAATCATAGATCGTTAGGCGTCCACACGATATGTCATGTATTTGATGGTTTTAGATTAGAATCAGTAGCGCCGAAAAACATTATTTACTTGTTTGCTGTGATTGTGCTGAAATAGTGGTATTTCGATTTGAATAACTACCTATTCATAATAATGTATGTTCCGTAACTAACTTTTTAGCAGAATGAATTAAATTAGTATACATACAAAGCATAGGCTGTCATAACAACACTTTTTTCATATTACTAATATTTTGTACGTTTCGCAGGTGAGTTATGGCGGGCCTAAGGATATGTATTTTAGTAAATTATAAATTATCATTGTAGTCTTGCATTGCAACAGGACATTATAATGAAACAACTGTAAGCACTTGATAATTTATAATTTACTAAATTACATATTCTTAGGCAAGCCATAACTCACCTGCGAAACGTACAAAATATTAGCAATATGAAAAAAGTGTTATGATAGCCTATGCTTTGTATGTACCCTAATGTAATCCATTGTCCTCAAAAGTTAGTTACGGAACATACATTTTTATGAATAGGTAGGTATTCAAATCCAAATACTTCACCGCAATCACAGCAAACAAGTAAATAATATTTTCCGCCGCTACTGGTTCTAACCTAAAACAAAAAACCATGAAACATAGTGGTGTTGAAGCTCGTTACTTTCGAGCACTCGTTACTAATCGTTACTCTTCTACAAAGTAATCATTTATTGTATTCGTTACTTCGATTACTATGAGTAGTATGACTATAACGATTTGGCAACGTGCGTCGTGTTTCGTGTAATTAATGTGGAATTCGAACTAGTTCAATGGAACCGAATCTTGTAAGAAAATAGACAACTTTAAAATTTGCAAAATGTTTTGAGCATAGTTTATTCAAATGTGCTGTGTTTAATGCAAACTTTATGCTTATCGAGATGGGTTATTATAGGATAGAGACTTACTAGAAATGCTTAGAAAGCTTGTCTTTTAGTCAGAAAGATGATCTCTATATGGTCTTAAGAAAATTCACAATGGCAAGTAACAATCCGAAGCATTTCAATTAACCATATACCAGTATAAACAATTCTACGTGGAGCTTAGTCTACACAAACTATTGGTGGTTATACTGAATAATAATTTTGTTGGCAAAACAGTGCAAGTAAACAGTCAAATTGATATAATTTTTATTATTGTGGTTTTTCTGAACGGTGATGTTACCTTGTTGTCGCATTTCTGCATCATAATACTGCCAAACTTTGCTTCAATCCAATCGACTCCTTATTCCTTTTCAAGTTGCCAAGATCACATCAATAAAAGCGGATTTGAGTCACTGTGTAAATTCTCTAAACTTAGTTTTTTTGATTGACGGACATAGAATTTGGTTGTTTTCAAATCTGGAGTTTCCAGGTTTCCACCACGAAAATGGAAACCCTGATGCATGAGCGGCAGTGCTACAGTGAAACCAGCGTTGTCACTCAACGATTGTACGGGTACCGGGTACGGATTCGGAAAACAGAGTAATCAAAGTAATCATTTCGTGCTCGGATTGGTACTCGTTACTTCGGGTATCTATAAGTAACGATTACTCGAGTAACGAACAGTTACTTTTTCAACACCACTAGAAACACATGACATCTCGTGTGGGAGCGTAATGAACCATGCTTCCAACGTTGTAAAATTATAAAAATATATATAAAAATCGATCAAATTTATCGACAAGAGCCCGAACGTTCCATGTGGCGAACGTTGGACACATGCAATCTGTCAGCGCTCTCCCACAAGAGGTGGCGAATGCCCATGTGCTCGCCACATCGTGTGTGAGCGGTTTTATAGTCTGTTCTTGGTTCTGTCCTGCTTCTGTCTTTTTCTTTTGCGGTTTTGTGTTTTGTGCTTTGTTGATGTTATTGTGAGTTGAACCAGTTTTTGTTCATTTTTTACGGAAGTGTTTATTAATGTATAATTAGCGAGTTCATCATGTCCGCAACTACGGTGAACGTTGTAGTGAATTCGCCTCCTGCCTACAGTGAAACGAGCACTCAGATACACGTTGTACCTTCTATTTCCGGAGCACCACCTACATATGAAGAAGCGATAAATCCAAATGGTAAGATCATCATTTTAGCCATATAGGTATGAGAAATTGATTGACTTGTTTATTAGGAATGTTTCCATCAACTAACTCAGGCAGTTTTCTTTGATTCAGCATAAACGCAATAGAGAACATGTTAAAATTCCTATTTTATCATTGAACTAATGTTTTTGTATTATATGTATGCATATAGGTACTTTATTCAGTTGAAGTAAAACACATGGATCTAACTTTAAAGGTCGAAGATGAAATGCCATTCCATATTTTCAATTTTAAAAGTAATTTATTTGCACATGGGATCCAAAAAGCCATATAGATGGTTTTAAAAAATGTGAGTTGTGTAATAACAATGAAGTGCTTCAACAACAAACATTTGTGCCATTGGCTCTGTTTCTTATAAGTTGTAACCGCGGTTTCAATGCAATATTGCAGCCTCTAAATGGGCAATAATTGTCATCCAGCTGTATATGAGATAATACAGAGTGATTCACAAGTTGCGACCAAAACTGAAACATCATACACAGGACCGCATTTTAAAGGGGGGTCTTCTATCTAACATTTTTTCCCCACAAAAAAAATCCAGGGGGTTCAAATCAGGAGACCTCGCCTGCCTATGTACAAGTCCGCTTCTGCCAATCCATGCTTGTCTAAAATGATTATTTAACCTTGCAGTTATGTCACGATGAACATGCGGTGGGGCACCATTGTGCTGATACCATATTCATACTCTCATTGCTATGTAATTATCTAGAAAAGCTAAGTATGAGTTTGCATTTGAATGTTGCATTACCTGCATAAACAGTTGGCCATGGAAAGTGCTGCACCAGACATTTCTAGAAAATCTGAGATGAAACGAGTGGATTCTGATGGAACAGGGAATGATCAAATAATATGTTCATTATAAGAATTAAAGGTTCCACTCCTCGTAAAAAGCGATTCATCTGACCAAAAAACCAAATCAATAAAATCTGCATTTTGATTATGCATTTGCAATAACCAATCACAATAATTTCGCTGTTGGACTTCGTGGCTGGGCTGCAGACATTGCACATTTTGCCGATGGTAAAGATGTAAAACTTTCCGATTTAAAATTATCCACGCAAGACTTTGGGAACATGGTAACTGGGCTGCAACCTGCCTATAACTTGTACTAGGATCATCCAATGCCAAATTTAATTCCTGTCGAACAATATGCCAGACACCATGACCTCTAACTCCGGAATGTTTGGCAATTCCATATTGCCGACATTTTAGAAATGATCGCGTAAAAACCGGTGGAGTCAGTTGGCGTCATTAGGAAATCTCCGTTGATACTTCTGAGAAGCCGCTAAAGCTTTTCTATTACAGAACCCGTACACAAAAATAATATATGCGTACTCATAATTACTAAATGCCATTTCACAACACTCAAAAATGGAAGAAATATACTTTGTACTTGACTTTTACAAAAAAAAAACTTTAGTAGCAACGATATCAACTGTATATACAACACAACTTTGACAAACTATCTCCCAAGAAACGTCACGTTGGTATCAAGGCCTCCTATTTTATTTTCATGAATCTAATTTGTTTTATTTTGAGTTTTACAAAAACAGGGCCCTCTAAGGAAAAAAGAACAAAAGCAGTTATTTTAATTATTTGTAGCAAATTGAAGGTAAACTTCGAAAAACTGCGCGTTTCGAAAAAAAAAACAGTGGCGTACTATTTTTATTTGGAAAGTGTATCTCCGCCAATGGTGCGAATTAAATTTAAGTAAAGACTTTTAAATGTGGACAATACTTAGGTAAATCCACATAGCAACTGTTAGTTCAGTCCAGTTGACGTTTTTGAAGATATTAAAAAAAATTGTTTTTTATTTTTTAAAAACAACCAACCATATCTTTTTGATGAAGCCGTCCAGAAAAAAAGGTAACAAAGAAGACCCTCCTTGAAATACGGTCCTGTGTATGATGTTTTACTTTTGGTCACAACTTGTGAATCACCCTGTATACATTTCGAGTCGGAGAAGAATCGGCTATCATCTTCATTAAAAATATACAAGGTGAGCCATTCAAAAGTACTTAAACCTTTATTTGGTAGCACTTTTATGAGCTTATTGTACTATTGCATGATAAACTTTTTATTAGAAACTATAACTTTTGTATGTGGCTAAAAAACCGATCGATCGAGCGCGATCGAAAACGTTATAAAGGCAGCATTGCACGTAATAATGTTTATTTTATGTGTTTTTATGTATTGTGCGAGTATACCACTCCTTCCCAAGAGGAACTCCAACATTGGGAGGTGACGAGAAAAAAATTGAAATGTTGCAAAAATAATAATATACACCTGCGGATTTGATTATTTATCATATTCTAACCTCCCACCAAGCGATTTGCCTCAATGATGTCCGGAAGGCCCCTGTCCGCACTTTGATCAGAATTCGATCAAACACCTTTCATTTGTGAAAATCGACTTATGTCCAGGATTTTATTGCATGTATCTCGTAGAATTATGCTACTCTAGCATCCCACAAAGCGGCTCTGCCGAGAGTGCCTCGGAACATTGTTTTTCAGCCCCTAGTGCACTTAACGCAGTGTATATATGAAAAAAATCATAATTTTCCAAAATCGAGTTAGGTCCAGTTTTTTTTTTCGATAAAGCGTGATTATTTATCATATTCTAACCACCCACCACGCGGTTTGCCTCAATGAAGTCCGGAAGGCCCCTATCCGCACTTCGATCAGAATCCGATTTTTTTTTGTGCTAATGATGTTTATTTAACATATTCTAACATCCGCATTTCGATCAGACACCTATCATATTGCAAAATGACAAGGCGACAAAGGTTATGCGTCGATCTCTCGTAGACTGTATCACCTCAGGGTGATGTGAATGTTATTGAGTAAACTTATACAATACTGGTTTTGTGTACGAGTATTTGTAATAGCGAATGTAACAATATAGTAAAATAAAAACGATTTTTAAGGTGTATTCGTGTAACTCGCATAATATACACTGTACTGTAAAATTAAATGTAATGTGGTATTTATTACCTATGTAGCCAAGATGCTAATAATTATTAATGTATAAGGTTGATACTGATGGAAATATTAGTCGAAACTGATGGTACAGTAAAAATACTGATCATGTGACATTGTCCTATGTAAAATATTAACGGCTGTATGTAAATATAAACGCGGCCTATACTCTGTTTTGCATCGGAAGGCGATGTGATTTTGTACAACAGCATTAGGCATTGAACAGGTATTGATTAGGGTGAGATGAAATTATTAGTCTCTTTACATGGCCTTATCATTAGAGCTGAGTGACCCTCATTAATATGACAGTTTTGCTAAATCGGTGTATTCATTTTTATCAACAACGGGGACCACCTTTAAGTATAAATAGGTTGCTGATTCAGAATCCATGATCAAAATCTAATACTAATGTAATCACTGTGTTTCTCCAGCAAAGGTACTGGATGCAGTTAAATACTATACTGGGCTGCTTGCAGGAATGTCCGGGTAAAATGGACAATTGTAACGGAATTTTCTGTAATCTTTAGGTTGTGATCAAAAAGGATACGTACAGGTAAATTTTGTAAAAAAAAAGGATACGTTTAGGTAAATTTTCATTGTCATAATTTAGTTTTGTTTGTGTCGTTGGGCATCTGGGGTTACAGTACTTCTTCAAAATACTACAATGTCTGCAAACGAATTTCGCGAAAAAGTGAGTGTTGCACGTGTGATATCGTGAAGTCGGTGGATGAAGTGAACTAGTGCCTAGGCATATCAAAAATTTCATGTCCGTGCATGGTGGCTATTAACGGTTATATTTCAGCGAAAACAACAAAAGGTAAGCAGTATCCGGCCGAAGTCGACAATTTCACTATTCTATCAACTGGAATAAAAAATGACACTGAGATCGTTAAAATATGCGTGTTTTTGGCATTATATTCTTTTACTCGCAATCGGAACAATTGTGGTATATATGACAAATGTACTCGACCGGGCCACTCTCAGTATTTCAAATTTTCTGCGTCCGATCTTGGCCGGGCTGGTGATGATGATGTGCAATTTCGACAAGCAAGGGATTCAGAGAATGAACAACTGGCTTAAATATCATAGTACCCGCGATTACCAACTAGAGGTGGTATCTAAAACCGACAAAGAACTGCTCAAAGTTGGGCATCCGCAAGACATGTTCCAATTGACCACCTACCACAAAATTGCATCCGAAACAAAACGCGGGAACAGACTGCTGCTCAGTTCGCGGGACTTATACGATTTGTTTCAATTGTGCATTGAGCAGCATAACCAGCTTGACCCTTATTTGGGATATGTCGCATTGCCGCTAGCAGTTCTCCTCTATACTGAATGCCAGTTAACATCCTTCAACCTAGAGGAGCAATTCCACATTTTGATGCGATCACATCGCAACAAAACATCTGTTCTATATCTTTGTTTTTAAAAATGTATTGAGTATTCAATAAGGTATATAAATGGCGACTGGTGCGGGAGGTGGTCACCTACTGGAGTATTGTAATAGGTCAATTTTTTTTAAATATAATTTTTTTAGTGAGAACGCCATGTAATCCCACCCTAACCCTAAAAAAATATGTCCCGAACACCGCTCGAGCAAACGACTATCATTAACTTGACCAAATATCCGTGAAAAAATTTTGGGCGTAAAGCGATTTTGAAATGTGCGGATGGGGGCCTTCCGGACTTTATTGGGGGCTGCTAGAGTAGCATAATTCTACGGGTTAGATGCAATAAAATCCAGGACCTAAGTCGATTTTCACAAATGACAGGTGTGACCGAATTCTGATCGAAGTGCGGATAGGGGCCTTCCGGACTTCATTGGGGCAAACCGCTTGGTGAGTGGTTAGAATATGGTAAGTAATCACGATTTATCGAAAAAAATCCTGGATCTAACTTGATTTTGGCAAATTATGATTTTTGTCGTATATACACCGCGTTAAGTGCACTAGGGGCTGAAAAACAATGTTCCGGGGCACTCTCGGCAAAGAC